AAGTAATAAAATTTATTACTTGTTAAAAGAATATTATATATTATTATTATATATTTTTTATATTATGAAAAATTAAGAATAAATAAATAAAATAACAATTTTTTAAAATTTCCTATTCATATAGACATAATTTCCATACAATTTATTTAAAAAAAAAGAATAATAAACATAAAAAAATAATAAATTTTTTACAAATCTTAATACAAAATATAATAATAAATTTCTTCGAATTATTCAAAAACATCTAAATCAAACATCTAAAATTAATTATTTTTGAAATATGAAAAATTTGAAAAATGAAATCTTTAATTTAACAAAAAATTGTTAAATTTTTAAATTTTAAAACTTTATTAATTCTCGCGGCTCAATGATTGGATTATTTTTAATCAATTCCATTTATAGCAGTCGATATATAATAATGCATAATTAATAAATTTGAATCTTCATTTCTAACCCAAACATCAAATTTCACATATATATATCTTAAATGTTAATGTATGATAACTGGGTCCTTTTTTAATGAATCAATTTAACAATCAATAATAGTAAATAATAGCAAGGGCTAATTGGATAAATTTGGACCATTAATGGATTATTTCTAATCCAAACTATGTATTTCATGATTAATATCGGTTTGGAATATTATATGTATATAATCTGATAATTACAATAATTTTAATAAATAAGAAATAAAATAAGAAAATATTAAAAATCTCAAAATCCTTTAAAATTTAATTTTTTGTTCTCTAGTCCAAATGAATTTGTTTAGACTCTAGACTCATTTTAAATGATATAATTTCACTTAGAAAATTTTAAAAATTTAAAGGATAATTCTATAAAGTAAAATAAAACAAACATCAGGAATAAAAAAAATTATGTTTTCAAATTGTTATTTTTTAATTATTGACATTTAAAAATTTATGAAAATCTATGAAATCTCCTATACAAATGAATGTAGGGCATTTCAGCAACAGACAGCATAGTGGTTCTCAAATCTTAATCAACAGCAAAAAGAAAGATTAAGATATAAACAAGTTGTAAACAAACCCATACAACTTCATAAGAAAAGTTAACCATAAAAATATTATCAAGAACAATTTTCGAGAGTTTTCTCAAATACATTTGCACTTAAATTTGTATTAAAAATATATCATTTTAAAATAAAGTTCATTACAGTTAACATCTCATTCAGTCTATAAATTTATCCATTTAAATAATTAATAAATAAATACACACCATAGTTTTTTGCAAAAAATTAAGAAATTTAAGATCGTCTTATAATCTGTCTTACAATCCTCTTTGCAAAACTTAGAATACAAAAATCTATACGAATTCCAAAAAATTTATATGTCCAACCAAAAAATAAATAAATTATATATTTCTGAAAGAAAATTGCAAAAAATTAAATTTTAAACTTGAGTAGATCAAATATTATATGAAGAATTTAACTTGTTTTTATTGTAGTCAAATTGACTTTAGATCTTCTAATAACATTTTGATATATATTCTCAAATGCTGCTGTAAAAATTTTTTAAAAACCATATTTTTGCCATATTATAAATCAATTATCTAAATACATAAAATTTCTTTCTTTATACATAAAACAATTCGAACAAAAAAATAATAAAAAATTACTAATTAACTTATTATTGAATAAAATATGCGTGATAATATAAATTAATGAGTAATTATATGATAAAAATTATAATAATTCTTGAAATATTTCGTTATCTTTTAAAAATATATTTTTTTTACTTTTTTTTGCGAAAATTTTACAAGATTTTAACTAGTTAAAATACCATGAGTTGGTGGTCGAAGACTTTATTCAAAAAGAAAAATTTATGACTTCCATTGCCATTGTTTTCATTTTGTGTGTCAAACACGAAATTGAAAAGGGCAATCACGATATCTAGATATGACCATTGAGAAAATGGATATACTTCACTAGATGTGTTTGAAAAACGTTTCTTTTAACCATATTTCGCGATATTGCTTAATTATTTATGCAACGACAACTGAAAAAATTAGATTCTATTGCAAATTTTTATTGTCTCTTTCCGATTAAATAATTTCATTTTGCTTAAAATTTTTTAGTAAATTAAACTACGATGGATTAAAATAAAATCAATAAATTGATTATATTATATAAATTTGCTGAAATCGTCACAAATTGTAACGACTTCATGTTTTGAATATTTTATATTCAAATTTCAAAAAATTATATTTTTCAAATATTATTTAATGCAAAAAAGCGGATAAAAAAGAAAAAAAATAATTAATGATTTATTCGTGAAAATTTGTATCTAAAAAACAATAACAAAAATTTACAATTATAATAAATTATATAATTATAATAATTTCTTTTATTTTTTTTAAACGAAAATAAAAAAAAGAATATCTTGAAATGAATAAAATAATAAAAATTGTTACATAAAATTTAAAAATATAACAAAAAAAACAAGAATGTTCTTCAATTACACGTAGAATTGTATCCAACACTGTATCCAATTTTTCAATAATCCTGTCCAGATATCATGACTATTCTTTTTTAATTTTAAGCTTGATATACAAAATAAAAACATGCGACAATAGAGATCGTAAATTTTTCTTTCTGAATAAAACCTTCGACTCAGGTTCTAACTAAATAGTTAAGACCTTGTAAAAGTTATAAAAGGATAGAATAGTTTTAAAAGTAAGTATATATAATCATTTTAATAGCAAAATCAAAATATTCAAAAAAAATATTCCAAGCAATAATTTTGGGCTGTATTTTAATTTTAATTTATAATGTATATATTATTCAATTTATATTATTATATATTACTTTATAAAGTAATAAATTAATTAAAGATTTATAAATATATATAATAAATATAATATAAATAGATATCTATCACAGTTTTTAAATATTCTAATGCATAAATATACTCAGTAATTCATGTGGAAAATATTGTATTCATACAAAACAACCGCATTTTATGATAACTCGAAGAATACCACAAATATTTTGGAAACAAATGAATCGATCAACGAACGATTCATCCTTTAACCTATTCAATTCTGAGATTTAAATACTACAATAAATACCTATAACTTTTGTTCTAAAGACACACAAAAAAATTTTTGTTATCTTTATTTCATATATTCTCTGTAATTCTTTTTTAGCAACATTTTCTGATATATGCAAGTTTTATAGAAATTAATTTGTATGTATTTTTTTATTCATACAATATATTCACAAAGAGAAACATTAGGACATATGCAAAGAATTTTCAATTTTTTTACAAACACAATATATTTATTTATTAAATGGAGAAATTTGCATGAGATATTAACCCTTTCTGCACAAAAATTCCATAATATCAATTTGATATTACATTACATATTTCTGTGAATAACAGTCTTAACTTTGATTTAGTCTTTTCTTATAAATATCACATGGTTATTTATGAATCAGAATATCGTAATCTTATTTTCTGACTTGCACGAGATTAGCTATTGTTCATTTTTTGTCGTGTTTGAGAACCACTATGCTCACCACTGCCCTACATTCGTATAGGACAGTTTGCTTGCGCCCAAGGATATTTTTATCAATTTCTGATTGTCAATAACTGAAAAACGAAACTGAAAACTAAAATTTTTTTATGTTTGATTTTTGTTCTATTTTTTTGTTCTATTATTTTAGTATTGTAGAATTATTGCACCTATTTTTTAACATTTATAATCAAAAACGATTTAATTTAATTTATAAACCAAAAAAATAATTATTGTTATATATGTTGACTATGAACAATTCCAGAAAAGAAAATTTGTTAAAATTTTAATCCTTTACAAAATAGAAGAAGAAAAAAAATAGATATTTTACTTTTTAAAAATTTCATTTATCTTACAAATTTGATTTTCGCAAATCTAAAAATCGAAAATCAATTTCATTTATAAAAATGATTAGTAAGAGATTATTAAGAGATGAAAATAAAATAAGAAATAAATACAATTGATAGATCTTTAAAAATAATTGTAAACGATATTGAAATTGAAAATTGATCAAAAAGAAGAGCAATCGTGGTGTTTAGTATTATATCTCTCATTCTTCTTTTTTACCATCATTTTTTTCTTTTTCTTTTTTTCGCTAGTAATTTTCTTCCCCTGTCACGATTGGTTCATGTGGCGCGCTTCCTGAACGAGAATTTCCTGGTGTGAAACAATGGCACAACGACCTTCGCGTGCCAACATCTCTATCCTTTTCCTTCATTTGAATAGTTTTTCTATTATTAGATAGTTTTTTATCTAAATTAAAATAAATCAATATACTCTTCTCATTTAAAATATATATAATTATTTGAATCGATAATTGAAAATCGAAATTGATTGATTATTAAAAATATTTCAGATAATTCAACTGTTTTTTTTAAATTTTAACTTTTTTAAAAATAGCTTTAATTTATCACTGAAAGAAAAAATCGTTTAACTTGAAAAAATATTAAATGCAAACATTATCACAACAAAGCGATTAAAAAAAATCGAAATCTATTTTTTATTATTTTATATTTACTTGTACCATTGATGTAAAATATAAAATACATATGATATTATACGTCTCATTTTCTTGTTATAAAATTGTTATAATCATATGTTAATACATGTAAAATATAAAATATTTAAATTTAAGTACTTAATATACAAATGCTATAATAATTATAATGATGTTACAAATGCTTTCTATAATTATCTTATAACTATCTTATAACTAAAATAAATTGATTAGATGGCGCTAGTATTCCAAATAAATACGTATTTTTCTCCAAGTGTAATTATTTGTGTTCTACATTTTGCATATAAATAACATAATAAATTGTTATATGAAAATAACCAATTATAATTAAGCGATAATAAAGAATATTATATTATAATATTTTAATTTTAATATTTTAATTATTTTAAACAAATAATTTAATTGATTGTCAACAAGTGTTTGAGAATGGTATATTATCGTTTTCCAGAGAAGAAAGAGCAGAAAGCATACGCACAGAACGTGTTATGAAATTGTTGCCGTCGATTCAACTACCGCAATTACCGCCGGTTTCGGCCGGGGGTGGAATGACGGGAATGGACTCTCGGCTACCACCCGGTATATCTTTACCTTTTAGTCCTACTGAACTACTCTGGCGATACGGTCCCGCTATGAATTTTCCACCGACTCACCCGCCACCAAGTCCCTTTCTCGATTTCAAGACGCACCTACCGGCAAGTTTGGGTAAGTTCCACTTGATATTCGTTTTTTCTGATGAGAAAGAACTTCGTTTTGGAGAAGCAAAAATTATTGGCTTTTTTTTCGAAAAGTATTCGATGGATAAATTCAAAAAAATTAGTAAATTTTAATGTTAATTTTAAAAATTACTCTATGTTTCACAAGTAAACATTATGATAGTAATTTTCATTCTCTAAACCTTTGGATGCTTTTATTCTCTTGATTCTATATTGAATAAGGAATAATAAAAATAGAACAATCTTCAAATATTATAGATGTTAGAAATTTAATTTCAATCGATAAAAATTTAATTAACAATTAAATATTTTTATTTAGAATATATATATAAGAAGAAGAAATCTGCATTATCTATAGTTCATATAGAGTCATATCATATTATATAACAAATCAACATAGGATATTTCTTCTTTACCACTTATTTTATAAACGAAGAATCTCGTCTATAGTGTAAGCAATCACTAAATATGTTATATTATTTTGTTATATTATTAATTTTTATAATAATTTTTGAACTAAAGAATTCTTAAATTTAAAAGTGGTATTTTTGGAATCTATTTATCGAATACTACCGAAAGATAAAAAAAGTCCATAATTTTGATATCCAACAGCTAAAAGAAATTTAAGCTTTAACAAAAAAGTAAACCTGTCAAAAATTATTGAATCGGAGATCTTTGAAATTTATATTGTAAAATTCGATTTATCCGAACCTGCCGGGGAACAAACCATTCATATAATAAATAAATAAATTCACATATACTTTCATATATAAAAGGATAAAGTAAATAATATTTTGATTCAATAAATAAAGTTTTATATAAATTTTTTATTTTCAAATTCAGTTTATACATATTAGTTCCAAATTCTTCAAATCTTTATTTTATGTGAAAATTTAGCTATATTTCAAATCAAAAAATCTTTTAAACTAATGAATTTTCGTTATAAATAACTCAATATTATATATATCTTTTTTATAGAAAATGCCGAAAAAAGTATATGGTTCCATTTAAAAAAATGTCACATTCATATAACCTTTATTTGACTATTTATAAAAAAATTAATTACATTAGATACATTTCCTTTGAAATCATTCATTTTTTTGAAACTATATAGATAATAGATAATTTTTCAGTAGATTATGTTTTATTTATAATTGATATTCACAATATTTCATATAAAACAAAATTATTATATAATTAGTTAAATTCATATAGTGTATGAAAACTTTTGTAACTGATATTTTTTTATCTATGAAATATTATGATTAAATTAAAAATGATTAATACATTTAAATTTAAATTTAATTAACTTTTGTTATCTAATTAATTTAATATCATTGATTATTAAATAATCACTGAATCAAAAATGATTCAATTATCGGATCATAAAAATTAATATAAGTTTGATTGATATTTATATCTCAATATATATATTTGTATCTTATTATTATATTAATATTAATATATATATAAGTAAATATAAAATAAAAATTATTAATTCACAGATACTAATCTTATATTAATACTAAAATACATTAGAAAAAATTATTTAGAAAAAAATTTAGAAAAATGTTTATACAAAATTAAAAACCTAATTCATTTTATATTCAATATCACATAAATATTTGCTACAATAATGCAACTAATCTAATAAAATAAAATATAATTTCAAATTGCTGCTTGTTATAACGTTATGTTGTAAAGTTAATATAGACTTTTTATAAATATTCTTCTAGATTATCAATTTATGTATTTATTTTATTTATATTATTATTTTATTACTCATTTATATAATATTATTTGAATTAAATCATAGACTGATAAAAATAAAATATATTTTATAATATTATATTCATTTTGATATTTTATTTTTCACTAAAATATTTGACATTTTCATTATTATATATATGAAAATGAAAATATAATTTGAAAAAAAAATTGTTAGCATTTTCTCTTATATGGATACTCGTTGTTTTTTATTTATTATTTAAATAAATTTTATTTAAAATACGAAATATAGAAGCAAAATTCTTCTTTGCTATTCATTATTTTTAATAACGAAAAAAAAGTTATTTTTCAGTAATATTTAAATTAAAATCTAGATTTAATAAATAAACATTTTGAGATTTAATAAATAAATATATTGCAAATAAAATTATTATTTTAATTTTTTAAATTTTTGTTATTAATTTACAATGATATAATTTTTCTTTTCAATAAATAATAAAAATACTTTCGAATTTATATATAGATTATAAAAAATAATAGATTTAAAAAATAGGTTCTTTGTTTATTTATATTATGAATATCATTTATAAATACCAAAAATTTATAATATATCATTAAGGAAAAAATTATTATAATTTATAATATAATGAAAAAATAAGAATTAAAAGATCAAAAAATATATTGAAAAAAAATAATCAGCTCAAAACAAAAATAAACAATTAAAATTCTAAAGCTTATCTCAAAATCTAATTTAATATATACCATCTTTTATATATTGGAAAATCAGAGATAAACTATTTCCACTATTAAAAAAATAATCATACAATCTTTTTCTTTACTTTATTCTTCATTATTCAACTCTGTTTGATTATAAAGTAGTTCAACACAAGCACTCGTTAAATTCTCATAAACAAAGGTAAATTAGAGTTCTCTGAAACTTTAACTCTAACAGATCATGGATTATTTAATAAATAAAAAAAGAGAGGAGAAAAAAGAAAAAGTAAAAATAACCAAACACATATGTTGAACAGCTTCAGATCCACGGCTGTGGTCTCGCGAGGATGTGACGACGTTTCTTCGATGGGCCGAACGGGAATTCGACCTACCCCAATTTGATATGGACATGTTTCAAATGAATGGCAAGGCGCTCTGCTTGTTGACAAAGGCGGATTTGGGAGAAAGATGCCCTGGCGCTGGTGACGTGTTGCACAATGTGCTCTCGATGCTGGCCAGAGACTTTAACCAGCTTCAAAGGTGTCTTCCCAGTAGTCCGGTCACCCCCACAAGACCCTCCGCGTACCCCCTCAGTCCTCATTCGCATCCACCAACCCCGACATGGACGGAGAACCCATACACCGCGAATCTTGCATCGTTAATGTCCGCGAATTCAGTCACGTTATCCCCGGCACCCTCGGTCGACAGTCAAGCAGGATCTCCAGGACATACGGAAAGTACACAGAGCCAGATTTACAAGAGCGATTCGGACGAGGATAATCAACAAGGAACTACTGGAAGTCCTCCAGCCACGCCCACTGCTCTTGCAGCGCAAAGGTTAAGCGAAGTTTGCGTCAAGGATCAACCGAGTCCTACGTTAACGCAACCGATGATGCCTCTGACGCCCGGTGCCTTCAGAACGAATCCTGCCAACGCCGCGAGAGAATTTTTCCCGAACGATTCTCCGGAACCTAATACAAGTAAGTGTATACAAGTAAATCGTTGCATCTTTTCATTAAATATTTTTATTTATTGATAAGTTTTTTTTGAACAGCAAATTAGATATAATTAGCATTTAGAATCCCTAATGGGCTAACTAGATTTCTCTATAATTGAATATGTATTTCATAATATTTAATTTATATTTTTAATATATTAGATAATTTAAATAATTAATTAAATTGTTTTGATATTGAAAGATGATTAACGAAATTGTAAGAAATTGCGATATTATATTAATTATTAATTATTATTAATTATATTAATTATTATTAATTATTATTAATTATAATTATTGTTGTTTGAAATATTTTGGATGCATTGAGAATGATAATTAAATGATTTTGAAATAAGAAAGAAGCAGATTCATTAAAAAATAATGTTAATAAAATTATTGCTTTAAGTTTAATATTATAGTTTAATATTAAAAATAAAAATAATATTAAAAATAAATAATATTAAAAAATATTTTAGTTTAATATTAAAAAGAAATTATAATTTAATATTAAAAATAAAAATAATATTAAAAATAAATAATATTAAAAAATATTTTAGTTTAATATTAAAAAAAAATATTAATTATGAAAATATTAATTATGAAAATATATGTGTATATATATATATATATACATTTATGTAAGAATTAGAAGTTATTTGATAAATCTTTTTTTCAATTTTTGAAATTTGAAATCGTTGACTTATCGAAATATTTAAAAAAAAAGATTATTTTTCAATCTTTCGATTATTGTTTTATTAATTATTATAATTAAAAATGTCATTTTCCATTAAATGGAAAAGAAAAACAGAATAAAGTCTTTGTTTTTGTGCACAAAACAACACAAAATTTATAATAAATTACTAGTTTTGACATATCTATTTTTAGCTTATACCATAATGAATTTTGTTTTAATTATATTATACATAATAATTTAAAAATTGTTAAAAATAAATTTCTTTTTAATATAAAGTTTTCAATGTTAGAAATACATTTGGCGACCTTAATTAGTGATATGGTTTAATTCTTTATTGTAGATTTCTGTAATTTGAAATTCTTAAAAATTAAACAATTTATAATTTTATATTAAATCTTTTTACATATATGTTATATCATGCAAAATAAAATTAAGATTTTTTTTTTTATTCTTCGTAATATTAAATACGTAAAAAGTATAAAACTATTTTATAAAAGATAATATTAGGTGTGCAAATAAGTTCTTTTTCCCTTTTTTTCCAAATTCAAGATTTTATTATAAATCAAGCATAAGATTACGTCTCAAAGTATTCACTCTCATTCTCTATAACTTTTTCCCATTTGATAAATTATAAATTCCATTCCTGAAGAATGATAGCTGCTTGCTGATTACGAAATTATCAATACATTTTTGGATATCTTCTTTCGAATTGAAGTGCTTCTCCCATAATTGCTAACTCCGAAAGTTGCAGATTTCGAAAAAGATGAAGTCAAATCTGAAGAGTATGCCGCATGTGGCATACTTAGTATTTCCCATCCTAACGCATAAATTATGACCCGCATTTCTTTTGCAATGTTGAGCATTGTCATGCTAAAATCACGTATCTTATTCCTTGTCTAGAAAATGGCCGAATTTCTGCTTTAACTGTCGTATAAATTCATTAATTGATTTTGATAATATTCGGCAATTATTGTCCTTCCAAGTGAAAGATATTCATAATAGATGATTTCTCGGAAATCCTATCACATAGACAGCAAAACTTTTTTGCAATACAAATTCGGTTTTACTGAAGTTGATGGTTTCCCAGGATTAATCCATGATTTCCGTCGTTTTTGATTGTCATAAAATTTTCATCGCTAGTAACAATTTTGTCCAAAAAACTTTTCCTTTTATACCATGAAAGTAAGACAGCAGAAATCTCAAGTCTGTTTTTTTTTTCGTTTAATTCATGTAAGAGCTATCGCTCTAACTTCTGAATCTTATCTAATTATTTCAGTGAAATAGATACTGTCTGGTATTCCTAATCTTTCTGCCAATTCTTCTTATGTCTAAGTCGGATTTTCGTTGAATTTCTCTAATTCATCATCATTAAACTTTCTCGGTGCACCTGAACGATCATCGTCTTTCAAATTAAAATTTCCGGTTTTAAATCTTTGGTATCATTTTTTGTATATTCTGTAAAATATAGCGTTCTTTTCCAATACGACATAAACCATTTCAACAATTGATTTCCTAAGTTGGAATGCAAAAAATAAGCAATAAATGAATGATGTTTCTCGCATGCTATATTGCTTGAAATTGTTGCATAAAACAAACTCTTAAAACGTTCATCATGACTTTTCTTAAAAACAAAAGAATGGAAAGTAATTCGAATTCAGTCAGAAGTTATGATCGTAGAAAAAAGGAGGAAGGAACTTATTTGCACATCTAATAGTATCGTAAAATTATTCAAAATTATCTTAATTAACATGAGATCATCTACAAGTTTAAAAAAAAAAATCTATTTTGGATATAAAATAATTGATATTTTTTTGTTTTTAATTAATTATAATCATTTATTGTTTGTAAAAATCTTTCTTCATTTTTTAAAATTTTCAATTTTTAATTTTTTTTTTCAAAAAAATTTCTTTTTTAATTTTTATTTTTTTAATTATTAAAAATATTAAAAAACTATACAAATTTTAATTTATAAGATTTATAAAATTTTATTATTTAAAATATTTTACAGTAATCAAGATAAGTAATAATAGTTTATTTGCACTAATTAATTAAATTATATATAGTGCAAAAATTAGTGCATTAAATTAGTAAAAATTTTAATTAAATTAGTAAAAAAATTGTATACATTATCTATTATATATACCAGTTAAATTTAATATAATTTTTTATTATTATTGAATCTAATAACTATAGTTAACATAATATAAAAAAAATCTTTTTTATATTATAATAACGATTTATTAATAGCATTCATTGTTATTATTATTGTAATTTAAATTTCAGTTAAATGCCATATATTTCATTATAAATTCCTTCATTATAATTATAAATTGTTATAATATTTATAATATAATTATTTATATTATATTTTAATATTTATATTTTAATAATTATTTATAATAATAATTAGGATATAATGATTTGATTTTGTTTCAAAAATTTATTATGTATGATTCTTTCAATTCTGAATTTTGAAAATTGAACTTTCAAAATGTGTTTTGATAAATTATTATATGAATATATAAACATATTTCTTCTTTTGTTTATCATAGATGGTAGACTTTTATGGGATTTTCTTCAACAACTTTTAAATGATCCCTCACAACGATATACACATTACATCGCATGGAAAAGTCGGGAAACGGGAGTATTCAAAATCGTTGATCCTCCTGGACTTGCAAGGCTCTGGGGCATTCAAAAGAATCATCTTTCAATGAATTACGATAAAATGAGCAGAGCTCTTCGATATTATTATCGAGTGAATATTTTGCGAAAAGTCCAAGGAGAACGACATTGTTACCAGTAAGTTTATTGCTTAATTTTTTTTTTCTTATATTTTAATTTGAAATATTAAAATATTAAAATTATTTATTTGATAAATCTAAAAGTATACAAATTGAAATATTTTATATGCTATATATATACGCATATTTTAAAATATTTTTTTTATAATGTTTAAAAATTTTGTTAAAAATTTTGAGAAATTATAAAAATAAAGTATTATAAAACTATACAAAATAAATTGTATAAATATTTTTACAAGTTATATGATTTCATAACAAAAAATTATATATAATAAATAAAAAATTAATTTTTATATATATATATATATATATATATATATATATAGAGAGAGAGAGAGAGAGAGAGAGAGAGAGAGAGAGAGAGAAAGAAAGAGAGAGAGAGAATAAAATTATTTGAATATTCATAAAAATTAATTTTATGAATATAAAATATAAATATATATATTTATCATCATAATTCAGTAATTAACAAATTTAAACATTAATATTGAGTCTGTCAATTATTTCGAAACGAAATAGAACTCGTTTTAAACAAAATATCGTTTTTATGTTTAGATTTCTGCGAAACCCAACAGAGTTGAAGAACATAAAGAACATATCTCAGCTGCGTCAGCAAATGCGGATAAAATCAGAGCCGGAAGAAGAAGGCGGAAGTGGCGTCGAGCCGGAAATCGATATGCCAACAGACCTCTCGATGTCTAGTATGAGTCAGCCATCCAGCGAGCAACAACAACAGCAACAACCTCTATCTCTTCTCGATCCACCTGTAAAATATAGAAGTCATGCGTACAATCTCGTAAAAACCAATCAAGAATCGGAAGAGCAAAAGTGACGTGAAACGTAGCACTAATGTGACTGTCTAATGTGTTTTAAATGCTGACAAGATTAACATATTTTATGTTATGCACATACTCGTTATTTGATTCGAAATAGTCAGTTTCGAAATAATGCAAAGAGATTTACTTTTAACTATATGTCAAGTATATTGACAAAATTGTTGACAGAATGTTCGTTTTCGGAATAATACATTTCTAGGAATATTTTTTGCCGTTTAAGAATCACTAGGTCATCAGCGCCACTGTTCAAATAATAAAGCTTGCGAGAAAGTTGTTAGGTTATAAATTAGTAACTATCGTATCATCAACGTGTCTCCGGAACTAATATATGATAAAAGACTGACAAATAAAATATTGTGCGAGTTATGTATCAAAATATACAAGCTATGAGGAGAATAATTTTGAAAGCAACATTGTGTAATGTCGATGGTAAGTTGACTTGCCTTGAATCTAATTATTAGTACTACATTAATTATTAAAACTAATTATTAGTACTACATCATAGTGCTTACCTGGTTCATGATTTATTTGTCAACTTTATTTCGATATTCGACCGCAACTTCGAAAACGTCCACCGATTTTGAATCGGCTCGAAGATCGAGCAATCAACAAGCGGTTCATCGATTTCCATGCGTTTCAAATAGATAATTGGCTGTTCAGAATCTTATTAAAGAGTGTCAGGAGCCAATTGTGCTACAATTGTGGAAGACGCTTCGATGAAGCTGAACTTTCGCGGATATTCCGCCATTTGTTTTCCATCCTTCGTGTTAACACACGTACGCGAGTGTGAAACGTTTCTCGCTTCTACAACGAACTACTTTAGAAATGCTTATAGAGCGTTATCGACGAACGTACAAAACGGTGTTCGGGAAACGATCGAGATATTTTATTCCAAAGTTATTCTGTGATGTAAACTTTAGCTTGAAAGTAAATTTCTCGGAGTAACATATACTTAGTTGTAACTAGAGATTGAATTTATTGAACATTTTTTTATTTGAACAAAAGAACTTATTATGAAAGATTTTTATGTAAGATTAACAATTATATGTAATATATAGTTCTATCCTTTAAAGAGGATACAATATTATGCGATCCATTTTGTAAATACTTAAAATCGATGAAATTTCAAAGTTGGTTTCCCGTTGCACCGACTCAGTTGTGCCAATCTAATCGTCGGTAATACGTATATATGCGCGTTTAGTTTAGCGTTCTGTATACAAAGAAACAAAGGGAAAAAATGTGTCTATCGTTTTGAAATAATTAAAACGATATTGAGGATCGTTTACATCCCTAAACCTAGATACGTGTAAATAAGTTGACGAACTATTAAAAAAAAAAAGATGTAATGAAACAATTAAACAAAAAAAAAAAAAAAAAAGTGCGAGAGTTTTAAGGAATTCGGGGCCAGAGTTATATATATACATATATATGAATATAAATTTATGTATAAATAAATCTCTATATATATTATATATATATATTTTACTACCGAAGAGAAATTTATATTCGAAATTTCTACGTTCGTTGTCGATGCGATTGTGGCTCACATTCCTCGCCAACGGATCCTAGATTTTAAAGAAATAAAAAAAAAAAATAAAAATGAAATGTCACTAGGGACCGAAGGCGCGTGTATGATTAGAAACTGGTCTTAAGATCGTATTTTTACTAAAGACTCACACACACGAGATAGAAAGTATGAAAAAATTCTTATCATGAGTGAATCAATGTATGTATACATGTGTATGAATATGTGAGAATGTTGTGTGTAAGAGTAAGAGAGAGAAAGACAAATAGAAGTCTGCGAAAATGAAAAGTGCATTAGCAGCAAGAGATTTATAAATGAAAAAAAAAAAAGTTGTATTTGGCTATTTGTATACTGTGATCTCCGTGAAGTTTTTATCATAAAAATGCATAAAAAACAATCGTGTACATAATTTTCATGAGAGAACAATTTATATTAGTGATAAATATATTAAAATACACATACACAAATTGTGTTCTTAAAACAACCCAAATTTTGATCATAAGATTTGGTATTTCTCTGTACACACTTTAATACATTTAATGGATGATTGTATTTAAAAATTATTTATTCGTAAGTATTAGACTTGCGTATCAATCTATAGAAATTATACACATGTGTTACATGAAAAAATTGATGTTTAAAAAAAAAATAAGTCCTACAAAACAAAAAGTGATGTTTCAATTTTAATTACCATTTTGGTTTATCATATATCTATAGAAATTTACATGTGTATCATGCATGTAATGTAGAATTTTTAAAACCATCACATCGTCAAGAATTTTCTTTCCTAGCATTTACAAATTTCCTTTCCGATTTATCAAAAAAAAAAAAAAAAGTTTATATTTCATTTTTGTTTACAAATCCTGTATAAACTTGTACAATTTTAGAAAATTAACGAATTGTTTATTGTATAATTCATTGCAAGTGAATGAGCAATATGTAAATAAAGATTTATTTACTTATTAAGCTAATTTTAAGTATTAATTTATTATCCCTCATCAGGAAAAAAACATTATAAAATAATATTACAATTCAGATTTTTGTATATCATCTAATCATACGTATTTTTTATAATTAATAAATAAATAAAATATTCTTGTAAATTTTATATGAAAATATTTAAAAATAAAAATATATACTTTCAGTATATCAAATATATTTTCATATAAAATTAATTTTATTTATTTATATTTTAATAAAAACAATTATTACATATTATAATAAAAACAATTATTACATATTAATATTATATATAATTATATTATATTTATAAAATTTAATTATTATTATTATGAAAAAATATTACATCATCTGCTATCACTGCAGTACTTGATTTAATAACACCTTCTTCATCTTTGTATTCTCCATAACTTATTTTTCCTGAAACTAATACTCTTTGACCCTTCTTTAAATAAGTATACACATTTTCACGTAAATTTGGTTTAAAAACACATATTTTATGCCAATCTGTTCGTTGTACAACATCTCCTGAAATGTTTTTTATACATATTATATTCAAATATATTAAAATTATTTATAATTTTAAATATATATTACAGTATAGTTTTTATAGTTTTAAATCTAATTAAAATCTACATTATAGTATAATTTTATTGTAATAGTTCAGATATAAATCTCATAATTCAATATCATATAATTATTTATTTTGTCAAATTTTTTTAGCAATTATAAATAGAACATATTAATTTAAAAATTTAAATAAATATTGTAATTGAAACAGTATTTTGAAAATATTATAAAATAATTATATAAGAATATTAAAAAATAAAATAAATTCAATTTATAAATAAAAATTTCAGTAATTAAATTTTAATTTTTTATAAATTAGTTTATAAATTATGAAATCAATTAATATTACATACCATTCATATATTTGTAGTTATTATGTGTGGCAAGAGAAAAAATAACAACAGGATGTTCATTACTACCCTTTTTCTGTGCCTCGCCTCCTACTCTTCCTAATAAAGTAACTTGATTTATAGCTGTAATTTATATGATTAATATTGAATTAAAATTTATATTATTTTTGATAATAATTTTTAAATTTTTAATATATACAATTGATAAAAATTATAACAAGAAATATAAAATAACAGTATTTATATAATATTTATTTAATATTATTTTTAAATAATTTTAAGAATAAAAACATTTTTGTTAAATTTTAAAATTATAAATTTATAAATTCTAATAAAATAAGACTTGAATTAACCAATTGTCATATTATTTCAATAATAAAAGTAATTTTTAAAAAGTAGCTAAGAATAAAACTGAGTAAAGATTCGGTGCACATATATGTAATAATGTATATGTAAATAAATATTATAAAATATGTTAAATTATAATTATTATTAAATTGTAATTATTAATAATATTTTAAAATTTAATTTTGTATGTTTTTAACTATTTTAACATCAAATATTAAACTTGAAAAATATTTGCAAGAAAATGATACATAAAAACTATTTTTCTATTGAAATTTAAGTAATAAGTAATATTATTACTTAAAAATAGAAATATTATTATATATTAAAAAAAATATTTAGTTTATATAATCTTGACAATTCATAATTCATAATAATTCATAATAAATGTAAAATATACGTATATATTTTTTTTTAACATATAATTTCAAAATATATTTAAGTATAAATAAATATAATTGAATAATTGAATTTGGAAATTATTATATATATATTTTTCAACACTTCAGAATTGAAGTACATACTTAAATATAAAATACTTAATGTATCATTAAATTTTTAATACAATTATTTGCAATATTATATTATTTTAAATTACAAAAAAAACTCAAGTAACATAATAATATATGAGTTTCATATACAAATTTGATAACTTTTTTATTAATTTATTTCTGATTTTTTATTAATCTTAAATCTTAATTTATAATCTTATTCAGTAAATAATAATAACAGGTAAAAATAAAATAAAAATAAATAATATAAAATGAATTTAATCTATTAATAGCATGCATAATAATTAATTTACTCACATTAGTTTAAGATTTGATAAAAACATTTTTATTTTATTTTTATTTTTGCTCTTCAATCTAAATTTTTTCTAAATACTTATACATTTCTTTTTCTATTATATATTATTTATGTTTAAATTTATTTTATAAGTAACTACGAATAAAAAGAAATGAATTTATATTAAACGGAAAAGAATAAGAAGAATATAAAAATACAAATATTTAATTATAAATAAAAATGTGTAGGATAATATGAATTAGTAATTATTAATGTAATAATAGTTTAAATATTTCATATAAAAAAACAAACAAAGTAGAAATAAAAATATTTTTTTAAAAACAAAAAAGATTACTTGTTATCTAGATTAATATAATTTATATACCATTAAATATATACCAAATATTTTTATTTTTTTAGCAATTAATTTATATAATAAAACTAAAATTTATTAACCACAATATAATGAATTTATAACATGTCTATCTGTAAATAACAAATTGATTTATTTAATATACACATAATCTGTTTAAAAAAATAATATCTTTTTTTTAATTTTAGATAATTTGGTTATGAATAATTTAACATGAAAAATGAAAAATAAAACAATAATTCTACTTATTTAAAATATATTTAAAACATTGTATATTACTAGAAAATAAATATTTTTTTTCATAATTAAGAAAAGTTGTTTATAACTTTTTCATATTTTAAATATTTTTAATACAAAAATAAACAAATACTATGTAATTTAGCATTAATATTTATACTTTATATTTAAATAAGAGATATATATGAAATGTTAAAATTAAAATAATTTTCTAACCTTAAAGTCAAAAATTTAAAATTATTATATATTTTTTATTGATATGATTGTTCATATATAATTAAAATTATAAAATTTTTTTACTTACATTTTTCTAATTTCATATTAACATCAATGTCAGCAGAAGTTTGAATGCTTCTAATTGAACGACTATTTTTAATCATTTGCAAAATAACCTAAAAATGATAAAATATATTTAATTTTCTAGATCAATTTATAAAAATTTGTTTTTATAATATTTTTAACTTACTTGCCGAAACATTTTTATTTATTTGTTTTAAAATCAATAAAATATCAATAGGAATCTAAAACAAATATAATATTTTTGAAAAAACTACACTATGTATTCCAAACAGTTCCAGAATATGCTATGTACAATAGAAAAAAAAATTATATGATTTTTGAAATTATATATTTAGTAAAAAATTCAAATATATTAATTATTTATATTATTTTTTATAGATATAATAAATGTTTTTTAAAATAGAATTTAAATTAGGTATGTTGTTATTTTACCAAATTATAAATAATAAATTTTGAAAACTTTAAAATATATTATTTATTATTACATATTAATAATACTTATTTTATATATTTTATATATTTTTTCATGAATTTCTTTATTGATAATATTATATAATTTAGTTTAAATTATATAATATATATATATATATATAATATAGATATTAATATATAAATTATTATAATTATGTTATGATATGTCGTGATATTTTATAATTTATATATATACTATTGTAAAGCGAGTATTTAGATTTGAAAAATTTTTTTTATTTAATTAAATTGATTTTGTAAATATTATTTAAAAAAATGAAAATTAAAATTAAATTTAATAAAAATATAATTTTTTTCTAAAATTAGAATTAAATTATGGTAAAGTGATTAATATATTTTATATTAAATTTTATTTTATATAAAATGATTTATATTAAGAAAAATGTCAATTATTTCTTATATTATATTTTAATATTTTCATTGCAATCAGATTTAGCATATAAATGTAACAAAATTTAATAATTTATTTAATTTTCATATATAAATATTTGTTTTTTATTATAATTATATATATATATATATAATATATAAAATAATAATTATAGACGAAAAAAATCAATATTAATAATAATTATTATGGAATATATTATGGATACATACATGTTACATATAAATTAATACAAATTAAAAATTTAGTAAATACAAAAATTTGAAAAAAAAATAAAAACATTAAAATTAAGATATTTACAATCGAATTCGATTAAATTCTATTAATTCATGAAATCTGATTTCCATTCTTTTTCTATTATTTATGTATAATTATTAAAGTTCACATCATTGCCTGAAGTTAAATGAGAAAAAAAATAGATATAAGTGACAAAAATATAAATAAGATAAATAATCTAGAAAAAAGTGCTACAAAAAAAAATTCTATAATAAAGAAAATTTCTTTATGATAATAATGAATAAAATTGTTAAGATTTTAAAATGAATTCAAACATTATTTGAATTGAACTAATTTTATTAATCTAATTTGATTCAATATTATTAACAATATTATTTAACAAATTTTAATCTATCATATTCATTAATAAATAGTTCTTATAGAATTTTTCATTTTAAATATGAAGTATAATTGTTTCATTTTCGGTTTTTAACAAATATGAAATTTTTTAAAAATATAAGATTTAAAATAAAAATAAAATAAAAATAAAATATTATACAAAAACTAAGAATATCAATTATAATGAAGAATCAATTTTTTTTTATTTTGATTAATTATAAAAAAAGCTATAAATAGCTAATTATATAAAAAGCTATTAAAATTTAGAAAAGAACTAATATATACATATTCTTATCAAAATTTTTTTATAAAAGATTTTTTATTCCATAGAAATTTTATATATATATATATATATATATATATATATAATTTTTAATATTGAATTCTATAGTCATTTTTGATATGAAATCTAAAAAAAAATATATCGATTTGAATTTTTAAAATATATATATTATTATTATATATATTATTTGTGATTTTAATGTAGTTGATGCATTGTAATTAATCAATATACGAATTTAATGATATAAATTTAATATTATTTTATGTAATACTTTATAAAATTAAATTTTGCATTATTTTTAAATCTGAATCTAATTCAGATTTTTAAGTTATTAAAATCATTTAAAGATATTTAAAAATTATTAAGTTTGAAGAAGTCGTCTTGATATCAATTATAATGTTAAAATCAAGAATATAATTCATTTAAGAAAAAGTCAAGATAATAATCTTTTTTATTAGAAAAATTATTTCTTGACAATTAATGTTACAATTCGTTATCTTCTAAGAAACGAAATATTTATTCCATATATTTTGTTTTTTTTTCAGATTAAATAATGTAATGTATCTGATTTTATAATCTTAAGTATTTTTTATAAATATTTTAATGTCTTAAATACGAATCAATAAAATCATTTTCCACTAAAACCACTTTTTTGAAAAGTATCAATTTTAAAAAAAATTACAAATTTTTAATATTGAAAATATTTCAATATATTATAATATTTCACTTATTCAATTGAAATGATTCTATGAATTCTTCTAAATAAAATGATATAAATTATTAGATTATAAATATTTAAACATGTTAAATAAAAAAATAGCTAAAATATATTTGTTTTTACTGATAATATTTTTCAATTTATTTCAAAAACTAGAAAGAATCTAAGAAAAAATCTAATCATAATATGCAATAAAATAGATCTTTCTGTTAAAAAAAAAATATTAGAAAAAGCTAAAAATATTTTTATGTTTGATTTAAAAGCGAAATAGTTTGAAAAATGTTAGTTTAACATACATTTATAATAGTGGTGCTCAATGGCAATCATTTTGTTCGCTATTTACCATATTGGAATGACAATGTATAATTGCCATCATTGAGCAGCATTGTTACCTTCACGTGTTTTATCGAACTATTTTGCTTTTATTAAAAATAAAAATGATTTTTATAGAGCATAAATTTTATATGAAAAAATTTTTGTTTCGGCAAAAAATTAAGGAATTAAATTCAATCTATAAAATCTATCATTGTTACACATACAATGTTCATATTTTAAATATAATTTTGCCTTAGGATGTTTTTTATAACAAAATAAAAATAAAATCTATAATCTGAATATTTTACATTGTTCATTTCTTATTCTATTTTTTAGCAAACTTACAAAATTTTTAAAAAAATGAAAAAAGAAATTGCTGAAATTTTAATCTTTCAATTAATAATTTTAAAAATTTTTCTTTATAATAATGTTAGTTAATTTGTTTTTTTAAATTGATTTGATAGCATTATATTAATGATGCTCTTAAAAAAAAATGTTTTTTAATATTTTTATCATAAAACAAACATGATTTATAAAGTAAAACAAAATAAATTAAATTAAAGTTAAGAATTAAAGTTCATTTCAACTTTTACGAAGTTCTAGAGTTAGTGTTTCTCGAAATGATATTTCAATAAAAAAATTATTTCTTATAAATAATCCATTATTTACGTATTCATGAATTTTTATTACAAAAAAAATTTTTCTTTAATTTTACATACAACATAATTTTTTTTTAATTGAATTGAACTTATATATACGAATGTATATATATACACAATGTTATTTAACAATATTACTTAAAATATGTAAAATATGAACTTCTTTTGTTTTGAATCTTAAATTAATAATAATGTTTTCTAAATATTAAAAATCTTATTAATATCTTGCAAATGTCCGGTTCATGAAAAATTAAAACGTAACTAAAATGTCTTAAAAAAGTCTTTATAAGAAATAAATAAATGTGTTTAATATGTTTTAAATATCTTTATCATACATCTTTAAAATTTTAATAAATACAATAAAAATATATCAAATTATAATACAATAAAATATATTAAATTATAAAGGAATATAGAATTTTTAAAATACAGTATGTATATTAATAATATATGTATTGTAAAAAAAGGATATATTTTAATCAATTAATAATAAATAATCATTTAATTCCTAATATATTTTTTTAAATACACCATATTTATTCTACATATCATATATATTCTTAAAAAATTAAATGATAATGTAAGTACATGTCAAAATTCATTTAAAGATTAGATTTAGATTTTTTTAAATATAATATTAAAATAAATTATATTAATAGATATATAATAATATTAAAATTTAATATTTTTTAATATAAATAATAACTAAATTTGTAAAAAATAGAAATATTATAATATTGTATTTTATTAATTTTTTTATTAAATATTACATATCTTATTATTCAATATAATATTTAAAAATAAAATACAGTAAGATTAAATAAAAAGAAAGTAGTATTCTATAATTTAACATAATTTGTATTTTTTATTTTTGAAATGATAATATATTTTTCAATTTTTATATTATAATATGTATGTATAAATATCATAGACATTGCTATTTTAATTAATTAAATCATTGAGAAATTGATCCAAGTGGAGGATCTTGCCATTTAAATTCTTCTTGATAGGTGACGTAAATGAGCCAATAACAAACGTTGAGTAGTCCAAAAGAAGCAGGAAATACTATTCGTGCAACTTTATCGATGTAAGACACGCTGTTTATATGTCTTGCAATTTTTTCGCCACGTTTCCTACAGTTTCCAGCTGCTTCTCTTTGTCTGCGCTTCCTACAGTTAATATCAATTATATTTATAATTTAAATGAAATAATCAATATTGAAGATATATTAATAAGAAAATATATTATAAAAGATATATCAGAATAAATAATAAATATATATTTATTTTTATTCTCATATTTATTTTGCTCGTTTCAGTTTTGTTTTAATTTCATTTTTTTTTTATTTTTTTCAAATTAAAAAAATATAATGAAATTCATACAAAATTATGTATATTGTGTTTTCGTTACATTTCTTAAAAAATAATTTTTTTCAAATTATAAATTAATTTTTTCAAATAAATAATAATTAATTTTTCAGAAAAGCAAAATATTAATATTTAAAATACTAACGATATATATTATAATGTAAATTATGATAAATTAATATAAATGTATGTATGATGAAATATAAATACATAATGAAAATGTAGATATTTCACAAATAGTGGACTGATCATCTTGATTTACATTAATGTATATAATAATATTTGTAGCGAAAAATAATCAAATAAAAACTGATTGATTTCAAGAAAAATATATTTCTATATTGTTTAAAATTTTTTATAAAAAGCATTAAATTGTATTAATTAACACATCAAAAAATATATTTCATTTAAAAAAATGAATTTGATTTTTTTTTATATATTTTTTATATATTAATTTTTTATATATTCTTTATTCATTCAGGTGCAAAAAATCTACACAATTATTAAAATATACATTTAATTTTTGTTTGAATACTGTTTTGATACATTTACAGATACTATTATAGATATAAAATAATATAATATCATATAAGATGATTTATATCATATTTTTTAAAAAAGAATATTATTTAAAAAAAGAGAAAGTCTTATAATACACTTTAATTCTATATTCTACGTAGACATAAAAATAAAATTTCTTATGAATTATTATTAATTCATTATTAATTTAATAGAATTAAATTAATAATTATTAATAAATTAATAATTTAATAGAATATTATTAATTTAATAAAATTAATTAAAATAGAAATAAACATTTTTTTACAATTTATATTTTCATCATTATACATTAAAATAATATATTGTTAGATAATTTAAAATAAAATCAAATTTTTTTTAAATATTTTATAAATCTCAACAATATTTTAAATTAATTTTAATTAATTTTTTAATTTTAAATTTTAAATTAATTTAATATTTTAATATATATATATATATAATATTTTCGTTATTATTTTAAAATTAGAGTAGAAATTTTTTACCTGAATGATTCATCACCAGCAAGACAATAAAGAAATTGTCGCCATTTCGGTATCCATATTTCTGTTTGTGTTTGTCTTTCCATTGTTGATGGCTTCGATGCAACAGATACAGTCATTGATCCTCTTTCGTAAGAAACCGATTCCTAAGTGAAAAATTACTTGAAAACATTCAATTTCAATTATAATTATATAAATTTTAATGAAATATATTGAAATTATATATTGAAATTATAATGAAATATATATATATTGTATAAATTATAAAATATTTAAAATTTATTTTATTTTAAAATTTTAAAATTAAAGATAAAATTAAAGATAAAATTATTTTAAAATTTATTTTAAAATTAAAGATAAAAAATTTGATTACAAGTAAACTTGTAAATAATAAAAATTAAATATAAGAAAAAAAGATCATAATAATAATAAATTCTTTTTTATCATATTTTCGAAATATATTAAATAATTCATTGATGCATTAAATTTGCCTTTTAATCTAATTCTTCTTTAATATTTAACAATAAGAATGCAAAATTGTTTGGATCTCCGATTGTATTGAAACTTTACATACTGATAGATATGATTCCTGAGATAATTTTAAGCAATATTTTTTTTTTGCAAAATTTTTATTTTGGTTTTATTAATAAAAACACTATCAATAATTTTATGCACATTTTGATTGCCTCTGTGTTTTCATATTATCATTTTTTCCTCTATTAAAATTTGTAATTGTCATAAATATAATATTCATAAAAAGTAAAATCTTAAAATGTAAAATTTTTTAGTAATTCATAAAAATTTATAATTTTTAAGTTTTACTAAATATAATCTAAACAACAATAAAGTAGTAATTATTATTACTATCGAATTAATTACTAATACCGAATAATTTTCTACTCATGCATATTATATTTACATTAACACCATAAACGTCACATATCAAAGAACTTCTTCTTCGAGATACATCTATTATCGTTTCTGGATGAACCATTTGAGGACTGCACGATACAATACTACAAAACGCATCTTGATAATCAGTTTCACTCTCGTTTTCCCATTCTTCTTCCTCCAAAGGAATTTCTCCACTACCAACCTAAAAGGAAATGTCTACTAGACTATAAGTGATAATTGATCTATAATAGAAAATAAGAGATAAAAATTTCATTAAAATTTCACAAATTTTAATAAATAATTTTGAAATTTTATAACTGAAATATATAATTTTTTAATTGATATTTAAAATTTTAAAAATAATTAATAAAATTTTTTAAATTTTTTATCTCATATAATTTGGTTTTTTAATCATAAATAAATTAATATTGTTAAAATTGAAAATTATGAATATATATTATACCTTTGTAAAATAATGTACACCAGCAAATTCTAATAACGTAGCAATACAATATCCAAAACTCATTAATAAAAACCAATCGAGAGCAGTGGCATATCTAACTTTTGGTAAGTCTGTTCTAGAATCCAGACTAATGGTTGACAATGTCAAAACGGTAGTAATACCTGTAATATTTCATTGAATAATTACATTATGGAATCTAATAAGTTTTAAAACTAATTATACATTATATATGTAGTAATATTATATTATATATGAATATGTATATAATTATCAAATATCTTAATTTTTTATTAATGCGAAATTTATCTTTTTTATAATTATCAACAATTGTCTATGATATAAAATCTTATTTTTAAAATATTATAAATTTAAATAATTTTTAAAAATATAATTAGATTAATGAATTCGTCTCGAAATTATGGATTATAAATACAATGCTTTAATAAATTTATTTAAAAAAATAAACATCTTCAGATTTTAAAAAAAATCTCCAAAATAAATCTAATCATAATTTCTTTATAATAAGTTTATATTATATCCTATATTATATCCTTTTATACGAAACTTTTTTTTGAATAGTGCATAATTTAAAAAATAATATGCATATATATAAAGAGATAAATATAGAAGATATATACTTCATATATTCTTATCCTAAATATTATAAGTATTCTTGCATATTTTTTTGTTAAAATAATTTTGAAAAATTAAATTTAAATTGTTTCATTGACTTTTGTGTATATTTTTGTTTTTTTTGATAAATAATTTACCTAGTCCAACTCGATCGCTGGTAGCCTCGCGATGAATCCAAAAGGATACCCAACTTAGGACTACTATTAGAACACAAGGTACGTAAACCTGATAAAATCATAGGAAAAATAATATTAAATTAGATAACAATTAAATAAGATTAGAAATAAACTGATTTACTTGAATGAGAAAATAGCCGGTATGTCGTTGCAAGTTGAAGGATACTTGAAGAACCGAAAATTCACCCTCTCGACGGACGAACGTTAAATTTCTATATGGTGAACCCATCAAGTCAAATTGTGAAAGAGCCATTCCAGGAACAAAATTAACCGAAGAGCCCTCCTGCCATTCATAAATTAATTGACTGGACGTATATGCATCTAAAAATAAAGAAAAGAAATATTTTGTGAAAATTTTTACAATTAAATATAATAGAGTAACATTAATGATTACATACTGTAAAAGAGTAAATAAAATTTTGTTATAAATAATCATTAATTGTTATAAAAATAAATAATGATTCTATTTTCTTTAGTCATCATTATGGCTAAAAGAATTAATTTAATTTAATTTCAGAAAAATCAAATGAAAATATAAAATATATTTTACATTTATATTATATATTAATTAATGGTAATTAATGAGGATTATAAAAAGTATTTTAGGGAATTATAAAAGTGATTATATAATATATATTTGATATGAGTATTTGATATATATATATATATATATATATAATAATATAATAATTAATATATATAATAATTATATATATATTACATATAATACATTAATATATTTAATATATTTTATATTTATATTAATTAATTTAATTCAAATATAACAATTCATGAAAATTATAAATAGGTTCAACTAGACAAATCATGTTTTTTCATCATATATTTTTATGTAGAATATTTTTTACTGTAATTTTTTCAGAATAAAAAAAAGTGATTTAATTAAAGCTAATTAAATGATAAAAAATTAATGTGTCCTTTTATCTAAAAAAGATAAGGAAATATTTTAAGTCATAAAGAAAAATTCTCAAAAAGTTTGTTGAATCTTTAATCTAATCTATTAATATTCTTTATTATCCATTTAATTTTATCTAAATTTAATTTAAATTTAATTTAATTAATTTAAATAAAGACTCTTTTGAAAAAAATAACAATTTATGCAATTTATCTTGTATTTTTATATCAAATTTTAATTAAAGTAAAAAATATATTGTAATAATATAATAGATTTGTTTTTAGTTTATTTTTTAGTTTTTTAAAATTTTATTATATCATTTCATAGAATATTCAAATTTTAGAAAAAGATATTATATAAATTCTATTAATATAATTAAATATAATTAAATATTATTTTAAAAAATTCGAAATAAAATATATTTATTATAATAGTTTGTAAATTATTATAATTTTATGATTTACATCAAAAACAAATTTTTTTTATTGTATATACATATGTATATATAATATATTTGTGCATAATTTTTAAAACTTTTTTCAAATTTAAAAAGTTACTTACAACTTCCAAGAATAAGAGGGCAGGATTGACGATCCATGGGAAAGTTTCGAAGTTCCATTGGACATTTTGCTTTTATAGTAAGTCTATAATAAATATTACTGTAACGTATTATATTTCAATTTTTTCAAAATTTATTGAATAAATAAAATTTAATATTAAATATTTATTAGTATTTATATTTTTAATATTAAAAGCATAAATATTATAATAAAGAGAAAATGTATTAAATTATAATTTTATTATAATTATAATAAATAATTATATATTTAATTATTAATTTAAATAATAATTATATATATTATATATTATATAATTAAATAATATTTATATATTTTAAATAAAATAATAAATATATTAAATAATTTATATATTTTATTATAATTATAATATTTATGATTTCAAATAACGATGATGTTCTCATATTTAAATATTTTTATTTAAATAATCTATTCTATGTACTCATTTAAAATCTTATTGTTTTGTGACAATTGTAGTTTCAAATAATTCTTTATATTCTTTTTTTTTCTCTTTTCCAAATTTTAAGTTCAAACTATTTAATATTTTTATAAATTTTAATTGTTCATTTTATATTATAAAAACATAAAAAATGAAATATTTATTAATTGACATATAATAACCTCATAGAATACAGAATATCTCCATCTTGCGAGATTCTTAATAATTTATTTGGCACCGTAATGGTATGCACATAGCTATGTTTTCCATTATAAAAATACGTATCTGGCCTCCAAATTCTTTCCAACATTTTGATGCTTAAACTGAGAGATTTTATTGGGCCTAAAAAGCTCAAACGAGAATCTCTCCAAGATTGTCGAAAATAACAATCCATTGAATAATCCTGTAAAAATAGATTTTATAAAAGTAAAAAGGAAAACATTATAAGATTTATATGATAAGAGAATTAATTACAGATTACTTTCAGTTTACTACAAATTTATATTTATAGATAGAAATTAATTAATATATAAATTAATAGAAATTATAAAATAATTTTAGAAATATATAAAATAAATTTAAGAAAAATAATATAAAATATTATACAAAATGTTTAGATGAAATAATTAAAAAAATTCAAAAATTATTTTCTAGAAATTAAAACATATATAAAAGTTATATAATATATAATAAAATATGACAAATAAAAAATATTAAAATTAAAATCTAAAATTAAAATCTATTTCTCAAATTATAACTAATTTAATTTTAAATAATGTGACATAATATCATATAAGTAAAATAATTGTATTTTCATTATACTATATAGTAATGCAAAATTAAATTTTATAACTTAACTATAACTAACTTAATTATAATTTACAATTTTAAAATAAACATCAAAAGACATTCTAGAACTTTTAATTTTTGCGTTTATTTTTTAAAATAAACTTTTAAATTGTATTCTTTTTGTCTTGTCTTTTTTCTTCGTTCAAACATTCTTTAAGCAATAAATAAAAAATTAATTATGCAATTTTAATAGCTTTATAAAAAATTTTCATTGCATAAAAAATAAAAAATTTTTAAGATAAAATAGATTTTTTTATTATTATATAATAAAAATAGAAGTCTATAGAAAAAAAATTGTACAATATATAATGTAAAAAATATTATAAATTGAAGAATCATTAAAATATTATACACATACCATATCGAGTTCTGATACAGGACCCATGCTTCTTATTAAAATATTTGTTTTTACCACAGTTGGTGTTCCTAATAATCGAAAAAATGTAATCATATTTCTGGTTATGAATTATAATTCTATAATTATAAATTGAAAAAATTATTAATAATTAATAATTTTTAATAATATACTATAAATTATTAATAATATATTGTCTATGCCAATATTTCTCAATATGGTAATAATTCAATATTGAATTATATTAAATTTTTTATGAATTGTGACGATATAAATATTATATCTAATAATAATTAAATATCATTAATATAAATTATTTTGTTTATAACATATATTGTATATAAAAATTTTTAAAAAATATAATTCATTTCTGTTAATTTACTGTTTTTTATCATTCTGTTTTTTTATTTAAAATTATTATTCTGTAATTAAATTTAAGAAAACAGAGATAGAATTGAAATATATAATTTGTTGTAAATTAAAATTGATTTGATATGTTCTTTCTGTAAAAATATATCAATAATTATTTACAAAAAAATACCTTTTATTGATTTCAATAACATTAAAATATTTCAACAATATTTCAAAATATTATTTCAACGTTTCAAATGATTCAAACTTTAAGAGTTAATATAAATAATAGAAATATTATGTCATAATGATTTCTATAAAACATTATGTTAAGTAGCAGTTTCGAATCTGTGAATCGTGGTAATAAGATCATAAAGTATTATTATTATAATATAATAATATTATATTATTTTATAGTAATATATTATTATAAAATATTATATTATTTTATAATAATATTATATTATTATATTATGTTATACAGAAGCATCGAAGTCAAATAATTAATTCAAAGAACAATTACTAATTACTTACTAATTCTATGACATTAAAACAATGTTTTTAAAATAATTAATTTTTATTAATTTTTTTTTTCTTATCTTATACAGGGTATTAATATAATCCTAGGTTACTTTTGGAAATTATTTTTTACCAAGCCAAAATAAATATAAAAATTGATAAAAATATCGCTTGAAGCTTACTTATTAAAATACAAATATTCAACAGGTTTATTTTAAAGAGAATATGTTCTTTTTTTTCAACACGATTTTTTGTTCTTTGTTTTTTTATATATATCATATAATCTGTATATCACAGTTGTGATGTATCTTTTTTAAAAATATATTGTATATAAAAATCTGAATACAAAAAATTTTAAAAATTTAATTTCATATTCACATATTAAGTGATAAGATAAAATATAAGTGGTAAGATAAAATATTTTAAAATACATTGTATTTTGGAATTATTAAAAAATATAAATATGGAAAGAATATTTTCCATGATTTTCAATAGACAATAGAAGAATCGATGACATGATGAAAAAGAAAATAAATTGAAAATTTTTTTGTTTAAGATATTTTTAACATAATTTAAAATTATAAAAATATATCTTATTTAAAACTTTATAAAGAAATAAAAAAAGAAATGAAAAATTTTTATACAAAATTAATTAAATGTAAATAAATATATAATAATAATAATATAACGAAAAAGATAATGATAATTAAATTATTCTTTTTTAATTACAATTTGAAATATCAATACAAATTTATGTTTTTAATTATTATGTATATACATCTATATAATTATTAAAAAAAATGAATATAAATAAAAAACTTTTTTTCAAATGTTTTCTTTTTTGTTTTTAATATTTAATAATCTAATTTAATTATAAGCAATTTAAATTCATATTAGATGAAGCAAGATAAATAGAACAAGATGGCAGTATAACGAAGATAGAATTATCTCATTTTACATATTTATGTCTCGCTTCTCATCTGATTTCATTTGATTATACTTTAATAAGTAAGCATTAACTGTCATTTTTGTACTTCAACAATTGATTATTCAAAAATGTTTCATAAATTAATATTAATATCTTGTATAGAGAACAAATGTTGTCAATTATTTAAATATTGCAAAGGATCATAAAAAATTAAAAAACATAAATCTAGAAAAATATTTTAATTATTATATGGATTTTTTAGCAATAATTTTTAACAATAATTTTATGTACTCTTTTATAATTATATAATTATTGCTGATGGGAAAAAAATATAATGTCGATTATAATAGAAAAAGTAAATCAATTTAATATTATCAAATTTTACTATAATCCATATTCAATTTTAAAATAATTTAAATTGTGTGCATGAAATAGCATAAAATTATTACGTGATATATTAATAAATTTTTTATTTATTTTTTTATTTATATCAATAATTTTATTATTTATTTTTTATAATATCTTATCAATTGAGAATTGAGAATAGTAAGAATAGAAAGCTTGAACTACATTAATTTCTAAATTTAAATGAAAATAAAATTTAAGTGAAATAAACAATTACATAAAAACAATTTTAAAATATTTTATAATTTTATAAATTTATTAAACAATTATTAAACAATATTCTTATAAAATAAATTTACTATAAAAACTGATTCATTTGAAATTATCAGATTCAAAAACCGATATAACTTTCCTATCAATTCAATAAAAACAAAATAAATATAATAAAAATATCTATCAATAAAAATAAATAAATATTTCTTATCTTTATTAAATAACAAATTATTTAACACTGTAATTAAGGACGATGAATTTAATTAATCTTCATAAATTTTTTTTTAAATATTTATGATAAAGAGAAGAAAGATGAAAGGATGCTCGCGCATAAAAAAAAGAAAAATAATAGATACACTGTCGAAAATGAGTACAGAAGTATAATCGAAAGTATAGTTTGGCATTCTTTCGGATGGATAAAAAAAAGAAGATCGTGGAAAATTGAGACCGCATGTTAGAGATAAAGGCGATTTCGAAGGGGTACTTTTCTTCAGCTGGCTGCAATCCAACTTTCCGCGCGTTTCGTTCCTATTGGATCGACTCCTATTTTTTTCCTTTTTGCTCAATCACTTGTCAAAGATCATTACAATGCTCCAATTTTTTTTGTTGTAAACATTTTAAGGCTGTTATACGAATGAGATATTATCCATGTCATTGAATTATCTTAATTTTGCTCCACGATAATTATTAAATATAAAATGCATATATATTTATTAATCATGAATTAATAAATTTGTTAATAACAAATACATCACAAATCTTATTTATAATTATAAATTATAGTAATTATCGTTTATAATACAAAAAATAATATTATTTAATAAATTTAATATTATTTAATAAATTAAAATAATATTTTTTATTTGTTAAAGATTCATATGAAAATATCAAATATTGTCACATAATAGAACATAATACATTATACATAATTTTGTTTTTTTAAAATTCTTAAAAATATTAATTTTCTTCAATTTTTTTAAATGATATAAAAAAAGAATTCCTATATAATAATTAATGTATTATAATATAATATTTTAATAACTAAAATTTTTACAAAGAGAAATTTTTTAATTTTATATTTAAAATTTTTAAAATATCAAATAAAAAGACAATATTTAGGTAATGACCTAAATAAAATCAAAATATTTCGAGAAATAAGAATTTTTTACTTATTTGAAGATAACAATTTAAGAAAATTAGAATTTCACAATAATAAAACATAATTAAAAGAATATTATATAAACGTATAATAAAAATTATCTTTTCTTTTTAAATTTCACCATATTATTTTTTTTTCAGATAAACAATAAATTAGATCTTCATTCTTATACAAATTATTGATAAATTCATGAAATACATTTGAAGAATCAGTTTTAGAAAACAAAACAAATACAAAAATTAAGACTTAATCATTAAATTATAAGCGATTGAAATTTGATGAAATGAAATAAAGATAGAAATAGCTCCATCTTCATTATATTTCTATTTTATCCTATCTCTATTTCATTTCATCTAATTTCAATTGCTGTAATAAATAATAAATTTGCTTTCCAATAAATTAATAAATAATTTATTTTATATGTATAATAATAAATAAATAAATAAGCTTCAATCAATATTTTTGTATATTAATTTTTGTGTTTGTTTTGATTTTTAAAGTCGACTCTCTTCCGAATATGTTTAACAAGTTATGTAATTTCATATTTTTTCTCTCTTGTATTAAATGCATACAAATTAAAGATCTTGCAGCAAAAGTAATGTGACCCATTTTTGATAATTTTTGAGTTATTAGGCATACAATAGGACGTTGATTAACTAGCTTAAACGAAGATCAAACAGCCCGGATAAATCCGGGAATACCGCGAGATAATCAAAGCTCGAGAAGAAATGACGAGAAGGAATGGATTTTTTATATAAATTATTTTCTCTAATAATTTATTTCTATGTTTTGAATATTCATTTGTAATTAAATTTAATATTTATCAATAATTTAACGGAGAAAAATATTAATTACAGAAATAGAAATTGAAAAGAAAAAATAATAAGTTTGACTACAAATATTTGTATTTTTGGAAATAAGAATAAGAAATATATAAAGTGCATGTAATACATATAAAAATATACAAAATATCGAAATTAAATTAATATTTGATTTTTAAGGGATGAAATAGATTTTTACTTAAGTTTCATTTCTCTAGTTGTATTCATAAAAATTTTAATTTGCATAAACATCTGCAATGTGTAGTTATAGAAATTTGTTTTAGTAAACAGAAGATGCTGAATAATCGAAATCCTTGATAACCGAGATTCTGGATAATCTAGATTTCTGATAATTGAGATTCTGGATTATCGAGATATTGAATAACTGCGATCCTATTAATCGAGATCCCATTGCATATATATCTAATATATATATCTATATATTATATATTTAAATAAAAATTTTATATCTATGTATAGCATAAGATATAAATATTAATAAAAAAACAAATTATTTACTAAATATTATATTATAAGATACAATAAGGATACAAATTACTAATATTTTAATATGTAATATATATATATATATAATATGAACTTGTTTCTCTTTTATATCTAACTATTAATAGCTATCTAACTATTAATAACTTATTAATAAAATAATAATAATTTGCACGTTATATATTGTTATTTATTGTTGATAAAAATTGATAAAAGAAACTATGTTTCGATATTTTCGTCAGAAACTGAAATAAAGAAAATAATAAGTTTGACTATAAATATTTGTATTTTTGGAAATAAGAATAAGAAATATATAAAGTGCATGTAATACATATAAAAATATACAAAATATCGAAATTAAATTAATATTTGATATTTAAGGAATGAAATAGATTTTTACTTAAGTTTCATTTCTCTAGTTGTATTCATAAAAATTTCAATTTGCATAAACATCTGCAATGTAGTTATAGAAGCTTATCAATTCAACAACTTAGCAATATGTACATATTTTTTAATTATTGTTGCTTGTTAATATTAAATAATATATTTTATAAGCAATTTTCTTAAATTGTTACAAATGAATCTACCACTTTTTTGCGCAAAAATTCTTAATTAAACAAAACGATAATATCAATGCATATAAATACATATAATACATATGCATTGTTATACTTGAAATGAAATGTTGTCTTTGAATAGGTGTTTCTTTTGAAATATTTATTTCTTTCTTTCAACAATAATTAAAATCAAAAAAAAAAAAAATATTTTGTCCCAGTTATGTTGCACAAATAATTGATATTTGTATAGATATTCTAAATATTTTGGCAATTTTGATTCAATTTCCAAACATTGTTTTGAACCAAAAATAATTTCAAGATCGTAATAATAATGTATACAAGGTCATTGAATTTATAATTTGATATAAATTATAAGCATTAAAAAATGAAAAATACTTAGCGTTATTTTAAAAAATCGAAATTAATTTATTGGCAATTTATAACTAATTATCAATTAACAGATTTTTATTAAAAATATTTTTTTGCGGATTATAAAAATGCAGTTATGTGAGATTTTTTTTTATATTTACACCAGTAATATTTTTAATTTTATATATATGTTTATAGAATTGATTTTAAAAAAAAATACTTCATCTTTCGATATAAGTTCTTTTCATTCAATTCAAAATTTAAATAAAGAAATTATAATTATTTATTATTATATTAATAATACAAAAATAATTAATAATATTAATTTACAAAAATTAATTATTTTGAAAATATATATAACTATAGATATATTAAATTTTAATAATTGGATATTTTGAGAAAATTTAAATTTATATGATTCTCTTATTGATTTTAAAATTTCAAAAAATTAAAACATTAGAAAAATTATAATATAGCTAAATAAATATTTAAATATAATAAATTATTATTATTATAATACATATTATTATTAATTTTATTTTATTTTATTTTATTTTTATTTTTAATGTATCAACATTCAATATTGTTAAGAAATTTTATTTAGATATAATTTATAAATTTCAATAGTTTTTCAATTTTTAAAAATATAAAATGATGAAATTTCTTTTCTTCTTAATACTTAATATTTTTATTAATTGATATTTCGTACAATCAAAACGAAATTTAATATTAAAATTAAAATGATCTTTTTCTCACAAATTATATCATAGTATAAATATATAGTATAAGTAAATTTTTAAATTATATTTATTATTTTTCACTTATATCGAAAGACTGAGATAAAATAAAAATGCTAAAAATAAATAAAGTAATTCAATAAATAAAGTAAAAAAAATAGAGATAATATTTATTTAAAAAATTTCTTTATTATACAATGATTTTATTAATAGTAAAGAAAATATAAAAAAATAGGAGGTAATTTTATATTTTGATTTTACGATTTTATTCCATGATTTGGATATTATGATTTTAAATTAATGCACAACAATGAAATTCATGGAATTATAATATAGCGTGTATATTTAAAAAGTAAATTAAGTTATATATCCAATCTTTAATGTAATATTTTTATTGTTCCTATCAAATATTATTAAATTTTATCTTTATTATTATTTTTATCTCATTATCATTTATTTTTTTTAATTTATTCTTATAATTCTTTTTCTTTTTGAATTTAATTCTTTAACAAAACTAAATGATCATCTAATTTTATTTTATATATAATTATTTTTACATACAATTGTTTTATAAATATCACAAGCTACTAATAATCCACGAATTAAAAAAAATATCTCTTAATTATTTGTATTTTAATATATGAAAAATTATATCATTTATATCAAAAAATATATAATATATATATATATTTTAATATTATATTATATTATAATTAATATTATATTATATTTACTATATATATATAATTTATATATTGAAAATTATCAAAAGTTTTCTTTTTTAATAATCGAAAATTTAAAAAATACAAAGAACAAAAAAAATATAAAAAAATCACATTTGGATCATTTTTCATCAGTTTTTATCAATAAACTTATTATTAATGATAGAGCATTAATGACACTATACCTAATTGTAATAGAAAAATTTGAAATCATTATAGAAATAATATGATATTATGGTTTTAAATTTTTGGTTTTATGTAGAATTTTTTTATTTAGATTATACTTTGAATAATTTTAAATTTTTGTTCGAATCATGAAACCTCTCAAAATTAAATATTTCTGATATTAATCAGAATCATTTTAGACTATTCAATATATAATATTACATATAATAATTATGCAATATATAATATTGTACATATTAAAAAAATAATTCAAAAATTTTATACTTATAAAGAAAATCAAAGACAAAATGAAAAAATTGGGAGAAAAAAATTAAGAACACGCCCAAATTTTTTTTTATCAAACTATCGTAATCGTTTAATCCTTTCATCATCGAGATTGAATTAATCCAATTTATTCTGAACATGCAAAATCTGTCAGAGCATGAAAAAAATTTTATGAGTAAAAAATTGTTTTGATTAGTGAAAAAATCGTAACTAAATTTTATATATGTACATATAGAATTTAATAATAAAATGTATTAAGTAAAATAAAATTTAATCTTATAATATTACGAATTATTGAATGTAAGTAAATTTATAAAAATGAAATGAAAAAATGGATGCAAATTATGATATATGATAATTGAAAATCAAAGAGAAATTTGAAAATTTAAAAAGTAATAATAGTATATAAGATGTCAATATTAGATGAAACGGAAAGAAATCAATTATTTTTATATATTTTTATATATTATAATTTAAAGTCCGTAAATTTTTTTAAAAATGAATTTGAAAAATGGATCATAATTCTTCTTTTACAGTTTCCCATCCAATGATTTATTTTTCAAATTCATTTTTTAAAAAATTTATGGGCTTTGAATTATATATAAAAATAATGGATTTTTTTTTTTATATTCATAGAATATTTTCAAAAATCAATTCTATAAGCCAAAATAAACGCAAAATTTGAAATACAATAATTGAGAGTTGAGATCATTCATTAAGTTTTAAATAATTGAAATTTACATTAGATGAAACAAAAATGAGAAAGCATTTTATCTTCGTTATACTATTGTCTTTTTTAGTTCCGTCTCTTCAACTAAAGCGATGTTAAATTTCTTGTAACTTAATAAATAAATTTCAATCAGCATTTTTGTATATGAATTTTTGTGTTTGTTTTTATCTTTAGAATTAATTTTTCAAAAGTATCTCAAGAATATATCAACATATGTATACAAATTTATATTGTACTAATTTATATTTTAATTCGATTTAAATAAAATATTTTATCTTTTACAAATATTTTTTAAAAATATTATTTATACGTGAAATAAAACAAAATTTATAATATATATAATATTATAATATATATTTTTGTATAGATATTGACCCAAAAATGATGAAAATAATATTTACTTAATATAGATATCAATATGAAAATTGATTGAAAATTGGTTTAAAAAATAATGTTCGAAATAAAATGAAAGTATAACTTTTTGTTTTTTTACCCTTTCCGTGAGTAGGTAGTTGATTGTTTTCGTAATTCATTAGAAGATTCTCGAGAACCATTGTGATATTTCTAGAAACAATGTCGTTGACGGTTCCTCTGGTTAATGTAACTTTCGAAGAAGTCTTTGAAGCTGCTGAAGAAACATCAAGAGCGTAATTCCGATTTTTGCACATTGACAGCAATATGAAAAATATCAATCTGCAAAAGATACCAACTTATCGAATTATCAATATTATTAATATAATTTTTTAAATGGTTAAAACTACATCTTAATTAAACAATTTATTTTTATAATAATCAAATATCTCATAAATCTCATAATATCCCATCTCATGTTATAATATGAAAATTAAATATGATTAGAGTAGAAAACGAAAGGATTAAATTCTTTTTTTTTATAATTTGTAATAATGAAAAAAAATTGCTTTCTATAGAATTTAATATTTAAATTCTTTATATTTAAGATGCTATAAAATACTTAAAAATTATTATTAATTATTTATTATTTATTATTTAATTTTTATAAATTTCTATTCGATAATTTATAATAATTCAATTTTTACAAAATTACTTAATTTAATGCTAATAATTTTTGTAATATTTTGTATAAATAATTTTGTACGAAAAAATTTAAATTAAATGAGATAAATTTAAAAAAATTAGCAATTCTCAAATATTTCTAATGTGTTATTTATATTATAAATATCATTTTATATATTTATTTTAAAATATTAATTAATTTATAATAGAAAAATATTATAATTGATATTATGAAAATAATGAAAATAAGGATTAAATTAAATATTTTATAGAAATTATTTTTATACATTAATTTTAAAATATTAGAGATAAATTTTTTGTATTAACATAATATCATATAAATAATAATATCATAATAAAAAATAATCATACAATTTTGATTTTTTCGTTTTTTTCTAATGTATACATTCGAAGAATTAATAAATAAAAAATAATATTAGTCAAATCAGAATAAATATTATATGTATTTAATAAGTTTAATATTTTGAAAAAATATTTTTAAATATTTAAGAATATCATATTTAAGGATATCATAAGCATTAATATATATATTTATATTTATACTTTCCAAATCTTTTTCTCGTAAACAATAGATTTTAAAAAAAATGGAAGACAAAAAAATCTTATTGCTTAATGATCAAAACGAATTTTCTAAATTTATAATAATAATCATGAAATGATAATTAATTTTCTTAAAATTAATATTTATATTATTTTTTATATTTTATGATAAATATCATCTATAATTATAAAAAAATTTTTTTTTACATTTGTCACTTCGATCTTATAAAAATTATTGTAATGTATTTTGAATGGATCAAAATCGATTGTTGAAATTTTCAAAAATTTGCAAAAATAAAGAATTGTTACAATTCTATTAAAAATTCATTAACGAAAAAATTGTAATTGAATGTAAACATATTACATTAATATAAATATTTAAATATTTTTATGAGTTACTCTATTTTTATGATGTTACTATTCATTATTATCATAATATGTTCAAGTTCAAAATTTTATGACTGTATTATGCTTATTTTATTATTATTTTATTTAATAAAATCATTGTTTTATTTTATTATTATATTATAATAAAAAAAATTTTTTAAATAATTTTATTTTATTTATATTTAATAAAATTCGAAAATTTATTTTTTTCATCGTCATTATTAACAATACATAAGAAGAAATAATTAAAAATTATAGAGAACAAAGCAATCGTGATTAATCATTGCTGTCTTTATAGCTATAACTAGATCATTTTTTCCAATCGTTACAACAGAATGATAACGCTAATTGGATAATAAAAATTGAATTATTTAAATTTAAATTTATTAGTATGAAGTACTTTTGATCCAATTATATTACGTGACTCATAATCCAAGAGTTCAAAAGACAATTTAGTTTTAAATATATATGGGATGATCCATAATTCATTGTACAGAATCAAAAAGATTCTATGGATTTTATATTCATAAATTCAAAATAAGGAAATTGTGATAGGTTTTATTTTAAGTAAATCAAATTTGAAAGTTTTTCAAATACAAATGGAATTAGCTAATTCAAATATTCATAATATATGAATGAACTAGAGAAGGTAAAGAATAAATAAAAGGTAATTCTAAATGTGAAAATAAACAAAAAATGTAAAATTTATTATTTTTTTTATTTAAAAATTAATTTCCAAGAAAATTGTATTTATCGAAAATTGATTATACTATTTTTTGATTGTATATGTTCAATTTTAATTTTTTCAAAAACAAAAATTTAAACGATAAAATTTTATTCTATATTTTTTTATTATTTTCATATATAGAATTTGTATAATTTGTATAATAATAATTGTATAATACATAGAATTTATAATAATTATTTATTAATAATTCATTCGTATTCAATTAAAAATTATGGATGAATTATGGATGAATTATTGTATAAATGAAAGTTATCGATCAATCGAATCTCTTTTTAAATTTAAATTTTTTAAACAATTTGTATAATGTTATAAAAAAATAATCATACATTTGATTAATTTTTTTTTCATCATTTATATTTTATTAAAAACATTGTATGTATATTATTTTTTTGACTTTTTTAAAATAGAAATATATTTAGGAGTTATATAATATATTTAATTAATTATTTTAATTGAAAAAGATAGTTTAAAGCGGAAATTGCATAATTAGTAGATTATCTAGTCTTTTATTCACACTCTAGACATTTCCCACTTCATATTTGAAAAGGATGAGAATAACCCAACAGTCAAAGAAACTGCATTGTTTGCACTACAATACTGGAGCGAAAAGAATAGCCATTAGAAGCTCTAGATTCAAAAGAATATCACGTCGAGTTCTGTATTACTCACCAATGTTTATCATGTGTATCCTCCACAAACAAAATTTCGAATTAAATTATGAGTATTCATAAAATAAACAATTTTTTTCTTAAATTTTGAAATTAATGTTTAAAAACTTTGTTTATGAAAAAAATAAATAAAGATTTACATAATGTGAATATTTGAATTTTCATTAAAATACTATATTTCAAATATTTTAAAAATATTAAGTTGATGGTTTTCGTTCATAGTAAAATAAAATTACAATTAAATATGTGTAACTAAAAATTAAAATTTATATCATATATCTTTCTATATAATAATATTATATTAATGAATTAATAAATTACAAGTTATCGATTATAAACTTCTTTTAAATTTCATATAATTTTGAATATAAGACAGTTGAACAAATGAGACAATTGAATAAATTTTTTAAATTTATAAAATCTTATTTATTTTATTATTAAAATTTCAATTTAAAAGATCAGTTAATTAAAAGTTAGATTTTAATTTCATATTGATAATATAAGTTCATATTGATAAAAGTAATATTTTATAGTCAATCATGATTTTCAATATTATTTATAAATTAGATGCATTATAAAAATTTTATAATTAAAGATCATTTTAAAATTTTTTTAAGATTATTTTAAAATTAAAGATTATATACAATTATATTATAGAAATTATAATTTTTGAAAATTTTAAATAATTATGTCTATATATTTTAAAAATCGAGTATTTTTTGTAGTAAAAAAATTCAATTATTGATTAATAATTGGAAATTATCAAAATGATTATATTGAATTATTTAAGAAAAAACACAATCTATTTATTTATAAAAAAATCCACCCAACTTTTATATTTTTGCAAATTAACAATATTGACAAATATTAAATATATTTATATTTATTAATACATTGGTATGAATATCAATTATGAAATGAAGAAAAAAAAATATTAAAATTAATATAATAAAAATATATTTGAGAATAAAACTTTCTCTCAAGTTGCTTTCAAGAATTATTTTTCGCAAATAGATAATATCAATTGAGAATGAAAATTTTACATACTCAACATAATTTCCACTTCTGAAAAATTTTTTCAAAAGCAATTCTCAAATATTCTCACCCTAATTATCATGTTTCCATTACTTGAATAATCATGTAAAAAAAAAATTTTTGGGTGCGTGAAAAGTAAAAACGAATAGAAAAAAAGTGAAAAATTCAAACTTGGTCACGTAAGAAGGAAAGAACGGTTGGTATCGAGAAAGGCAGAGAAAAGCATGAGAGGCCTAGGTAAAGGAAAAAGAGGGGAATAGAGTATAAAAGTGCTCTCCTTAGCCGCGGATTCAGCAACTTCCGACGAGGGAGTCCCCTCGATCTTTCGAGTGAACATTCTGCCTCGTTACGTCAGAATCGCCCTTTAAACCCTTCCAGTACCCTTTTTACGAAAAGGCATTAGAAAAAAAAATTTTTTTGACAAATTTGTTTATATTTCAGTTATTATAATAATCAACAAATACAACATAATGTTTCAATCATCAATATATATATATATATATATAATCTATATAATCTATATAATATATAATAATCTATATATATATAATCTATATAATCTATATAATATATAAATATATATAATCTATATATATATATATATATATGTGTTTCATGATTTTAATATTTTTTTAAGTAATAATAATATATAATTTTTAAATATTTTTATAATATATATTTTTATAATATTTTTATAATAAAATATAAATATTTTAAATATTTTTATAATAAATATTTTTATAATATATATATAATATTTTATAATATATAATATATATAAAATATTTTTTTATATATACAAAAGAGAAATATTTCATATTTTAAAATAAAGTATTTAATTTTCTTACAATATTTTTAGCTTCTTTTTTTATAAAACTAAATACTTTTTTTTTGAAATTGATAAAATTAAATATTTTTAATTGTTTACGATACCACAATCATTCCATCGTGCAAAGATTTTATTTTATTATCAATAAAATAATTAATTAAAAATTTTTATTAGATATATATTTATATAATAAAAATATATAAAAATAACATATGCTATGTATATAGTTATATAGATTATATTGCAAAAACATCAAAATCATATATATGTATATATATATATACGTATATTTCAAAGTTACTGAATAGAAATTGCGATAATTCTTGAAAAAGGCTTGAAAAAGACGATAATTAACGAAAAGGCATAAGCCGACAAAAAACGATAATTATTTTTTTTTTTTTTCGGTTATTGCAGGTATATATTTACTGGGAACATATTATTTTAATTTCAGCTTTTTCATTAACGGTCTATATCAATATTACCATATTTGAGCTAATCGATGCAGAATGCCAATTTTTGGCACTATTTTCATCATTATAATTTACTTCTCTCTATAATTTTTCATTATAATATATAACTTTATATGCTACATGCCATTCTGGGAAAAATATTCAATTTTTTACATAATTGTATTAATATCATATTATAATCACATTAATATTTAATAATTAAGTAAAAAAAAAGAATAAAATAAAATAAAACAAAAATATAATACAAAGAGATAAGATTTTTATATTTTTATATTTTTTATTTAATGGATAAATATTTGATTAATCATATTTATTAATTATATTATTAATTATTCAATATATCTTAATTTTTCGATCATTTTTTTTCTAGTAATCTTAATCATAACATTATACGTATATACTTATATACATATGTCATACATTATTCATTAGTATCAATAAAAATCAGATTAATCAGATTTTTTTATACTAAAAATAATTTTGGCATTATCAATTAAACTTACTTTGTACACGACATAAATTAAAATATGTTCTACTTGTTTCAATACAAATTTTTTAATTCTTATCTAACATAATATATGATAAAAAAAATTTTAACGATATAAAAGGATTTAAATTTAAACGATTATCTAATTATCTTTGTTAAAACTACGCATTCTTTGATTAAAAGAAAATGAAAAATATTTACTTACCCTAACATTTCGCTGCACCTTTTTTCTTCTTCGCACGAAAAAGAATTTTGATCGAAAAAAAAAAAATAAAATAAGCTCGAACCGAGTACCGGCACTCGCGGGGAAGATCTACATGCGATTCTTGTGACAGATCCTCGTGGATCTCCCACCTGGGAGAGATGAAACTTTCTGCCGCGCAAACTCCAACAATCCTGCCTTCGACAACGTTCAACGAACTTTGCATATTATCGTTTATTCGTTGCTTTCTTTATTCCTTTGTTTTTTGTAGCTCCATGTTCAAAGCATTCACAAAACTATCATCAGTTTCTTTCTTTCTTTCTTTTTTTTCGTTACAATTTTTTCCCATTTTTACCTTCAGTTATGTTTGGCCAAATACTATATTGGTTTTACGAAGCTTTGTACGAGTATAGCGTAAAGGAATTAAATGAAACATGAAAAAAAAATTTAAACAAAAAATGGTCCCCTCGATCAAAAGGAATTAACGGATACAATTTATGATAAAATAATTAACTAATTTTGTGAAATACGTAACGAATCATTCGGCATTGTCGTCTTTGTTCGAGTAACAAAATTATTAGTCTCTGTTATTCGACGCAAAGAATAAGGGAAATGGATTATAAGTACACGTATAAAAAATATTTTTCTTTATATTGCATATTGTATTTAATAATAAAATTATATTGAATTATATTGAATTGAAATTATATTGAAATTATATTGAATTATATTGAATTATTTTAAAATTATGAATTATATATCATTGATTCTTGTTATTTCATGTTTACAAGCTATTGACTAATTTAATATTTCTCTTCGTGTTCTGAGAATACAAAGAAGTTTTCTAACAAATTAAACAGAAATATGAAAAATATTTTTTTTCGCTAATGTAAAAATAATAAGAAAATCTTATATTATTATATATTATTACATTATATTATTATATATTACGTTATATTATTATATATTATTACATATTAAATATTATTACATATTAAATGTTCATATTTATGTGAATATTATATATTAAATGTTTTATATTTATGTGAATATTAGTATATACTTGTATATTAGTATACATTAATGAAATATTTACAATTAATAATACACATATGTGTTTCATTACTTATTTTATTTTTATACTTAATTTAGATAATTAAATTTTGTTTTATATAAAAAATCTATTTAATAATTATAAATATATATGAATAATGATAATATATGTTTAACAGATGAAAATCTAAATTTCAGATCTAAACTTTGCCAGTATCCTTATTATTATATTCAAAATATTTAAAAAAACTATATCAAATTATCATTATATCTCACAATTAATTTTTTAGAGCACTAAATTATAAAATCGAAAATTATATATTTGATCGTTTCTTTATTGTTTCTTTATCGTTTGTTATTATTTGATTAATAATAATAATTAATAAAATGATTTACAATTATTTGAAATTTTTGAAAGATTAATTTTCTTTAAAAATTTAGAACTATATATTTTAAAAATATTCAAGAGAAGATTTTTGATTTTCTTAAATCGAATAATATATTTCACAATGAAAGATCATAAATTTCATCTTTTTATGTACAATGTACATAAAACATGTACAAATATTTTTTTATATTTTACATAAAAGTTAAACTTTTAACATAATTTTTTTTAATATATTTTAAAACTTCAAAAGAAATAATTTCTTGTTAATTCCTTGAGATTTACGATTCATAACAATTTTTCATTCTTATTATTACGTTATTATTATTACTATTAAATTCTTATATTCAATAATTTATAAATTTATAATATGTTATAATATTTTTAATATGTTTTAGAAAATAATACAATAAAATTGATAAAATTTTAACCACTCAAGTCTTATTCATTATTGAAAATATATTCCATAATGGTTCAAATTGTTATATTGTTATATTAATTTTTCATCTTTATTTATTTTATTATTTTTATATACATAAATTATTATATGCATATATATATATAAAATTTTTATAGTATATATATATAAAAATTATATATATACTATAAAAATTTCATTTTTTTATATTCTCTACTAAAAATTAAAAATTAAAGAAAAAATTTTTTTTAAAAATAAAAATTATTCGAAACTGGTTTGATTAAAATTAAAATAAAACGCGATAGACATTCTGCATTATAGCTTTATTTTCTTTTTTTCTAGACATTCATATATTATACGCTTTTACAAAGCTGAAATAAATGAGAAAATAGAACATGTATATTATTATTGTAACTTTGAAAGAAGAAAAAGACATATTTAATAATTTTAATCTTAAACTTTGAATGATCACAATTCAGAGATCATTATTACGTGTATACATTCATATTCCATAAATAAAAATTCTTTCTTATAAGAATAATTAGATTTAATAAGTTTGTGCTTTCTTTGTCTCTTAAGAGATAATTGAAAGATTATTAAAATTAAAAAAATTGAATGTTGATTTCATCGAAACTTATGAATCATTTATTTTATTGGATTTTAAATTTTTTTATATTTACATTTGCTTTTTTCTAGTTATTGATTAAAAACCATCGAATATCAAAATCATGAAAATAAACATTTCTAACACCTTAACATTTTTATTAAAAATCGCATGAAATATTTAGTTTTTAGTAGAATCTTTTTTAAACATATCACAAATTAACCAATAAAATCAATTATTCTTTACAAATTTATTATTAATTTTAAATCATTAAATTCATGAAAAAAATTCAAAAATTTGAAATATAGGCTATTTGTTAAAATATGAAAAATGAAAAATGTTAAAATTACGATTATTTTCTAATAATGAAAAAAATTTATTTTTTAGAATAGAATTTTAAAATTTTGCAAACAATATTTTTTTTAAAATTTTATTATAAATAATATTAATTAATTAAATATTTTTTTTAATTTTTGACAATTTATTTGACATAATTTATCACAATATGAAATTTTAATTTTCTATCTTTTAAGCATAATTTTTACGCATATATTTTTAAACATTTTAAAATTATAATTTTTTATTTTTTCATCTTCATTTTTATTATTAATTTTTTAGTTTTTTAGTACATTATAAATTATATTATAAATTATTTTAAAATGAATATATAAAATGATATTTACAATATGAATATGTTCGAAATTAATGAATCCCTGTTGATTTATAAAAATAATAAATAAATCAAAGGAATGAAAATAAGAACATTCATAAATTTCTTGAAAATGAAAGTATATAAAAAAAGATAAAAATCCAATAAAGTAAACAATTCTCAATATATGTATATTTTGAGAATAAAAAATAAAATTCTCAATTATGGACACGTATTCAATTACTGTCAGTCTATTATTTATGCATTATTTATATAAAATGTAAAATTTATGGTAAAAAATTATATTGAAAAAAAATTAATTAAAAAAATCATACTAAAAAAAAATAAACATAAATTAAATATAATATTTAATAAAAAAATAAAAAAAAACTTATTTTATTAATTTTTATGAATTGCTTAAATTTAAAAATATGAAATAAAAAATGAAAACAAAAAACAACTCTGAAAAGAGATTTTTATTTTATAATTTGAACTACATATAATATAATGAAAATTGCCTAATAAATATATATTAATAATATATATATAATATATATTAAATGTATATTAGTTAAATTTAAATTAAAAATTTAAATTAAAAATTATTTAATTAATTTTATTAATATTTATATTTAATTTCGGGGTGAAAACAATAGCATCGCATATTCATATGCTAGTTCTATGACAAAATTTTGTGTTAAAAATATATAATTACCATATATGTATTTATCATATATGTAATTATTATATATGTTTATAAAGCTAAACTTATAAAGCTAATTTCATCTTAAAATAATATCTAAAATTCATAAATTTCATCAAAATACATTTTTTATAATAAAATTATTAAATATTTTTATTATAAAATTATGGTAGAATTATAAATAAATATTAAAATTTTTATTTAATATATTTTCAAAGAAACAAATAAGTAATAAATAATTTGAAATGAATTCAAAAATAATATTTTTCTTTAATAAAAAAAATACTTACTGTAATTTAAAAATATTTATACAACTGTGAATAAATTAATAATATTAAAATAATCATCTAACGATCATTGAAATATCGGTGAATATATTCACTATATTTCAAAAAATATGAATAATAGATCCAAAATATTTTTTTAAAAATTCATCTCAAAATCATATCGGTGAATATATTCACTACATTTCAAAAAATATGAATAATAGATTCAAAATATTTTCTTAAAAATTCATCTCAAAATCAATAATTCCGTTTCCAAAAGAAAAATATTTTAAATATTAAATAATAATAAATAAAAAGAAACTATATTTTCTTAAATAAATAAAAATAAAACGTTTAAAAATTTAACGAGTTATAGTTATCATTCAAATTGACAATAATTGAGGATTTTACCTCATCCGAAGAACGATAGTTCTGCTTCGATCCCAAAGCATCGAAATCAACAGAGAGAGAGAGAGAGAGAGAGAAGTAGCAAAGAACGAGAGGAAAAGAAAGAACGAGTGAATGATGTGAGAGTAGGAAAAAGGGAGGAGAGAATCTGTCTGTGTCACTAGGTCGCGAAGAAATGGGGCTGCACATGCGCGGTTCATTTTGCGCCAACCTCTGGACCGCCTCGGGACTCGAGGTATACTAAGTACTAAGAGATACAAGGGCTGTTATCGGCGCAAAGAGAAGCGAAAGATAAATAGGTGAGAGAGAACGGATAGAAGAAAGCCGATTGGGATAGGGAGAGTGTACAGAGCAGTACAAGTGTGAAATACTGATATGATAGATATATATAGACAAGGAGAGAAAGTGGAGTGGAAATGACAGCAAGGAATGTGTGAAAAAGTGGTTGTGTGAATTCAATAAAAACTATGATTGGCGAACGAAAAAACGACGAATGAAAAGAACATGAATGAATGAGAAAAGGAT